GTCGAAACGTTATATGAAGGATAAGTTAAAAGATAAAGATAATTCATCCCAATTTGACTTATTCCGTCGATTAAATAGGATATATCAACCGCTGAAAAGCAACAGTGTTTCGTTACTGATTACGGCTCTCATCCCCATCTACAAATTCTTTCCTACTTTAAATCAACAGAAGATATATCATTCAATGTATTAAACATAAATTTATTATTAAAACTGAGTGTGTGCTGTTCTTTCTGACTGGAGGTGATATCAGGTATTTCGGAAATTGTTTTTGAGACGTTTCATACCAAGATGGTGAATGGTGTAACATAAACAGAAGCAAGAGTCGTCAGAACTTTGAAGATAGAGTTGCATAGAGTTGTTACAGGATGAAGCGACATATTCTATTTATATGTATGGTTTTGAGTTTGTGTTGGGTTCGAATCTCATCAACCACTACCAGTAAGTTGCTATCATATTATACTCTCAATCTATCCTTGTCACTTTTCATATCTTAAGTAACTTCTTGCGAAAATTTGCTTTAACAACTCACCGACTGATATACAGTCACTTCAGCTACCCGAATCAACTTTTCAGAATGAAAATTCGACACCAGCCACGTATTCTCGAAACGATCTTAGCGCTAGGATGTCCTAGGTTCTTATCTTCTAACATTGATTCTAGGACATCCTAGCACTAAGATTGTTTCGAGAATACAGAGCCTGGGTTGTCCACATTTAAAAAGCGAAATATGCTTTAAACAATGGAAGTGGGTTATTCTTTTCATATTAATGTTAATATAATATTGTTTATGAAAAAAAGGAAGTGGAGACAGTCTAACAGCGTTGTTACCACCGTCCCAAACGGATACTGGTGATACTGTAACGCACTTGACTCCTTGAAAACACGTTCAAATTTTAACACTTAAACATTAAAAGGCATAATTCTTTTATTATTCAGTAATTGAATATTTGCCTTCTAGAGTTTTCACGAGCTAAAAATTGAACACGTTTTCAAGAACAAGGGCAACAACTCATACTCAATATTATTCAGTATCGTCCTAAATAGTTCAAAAGAAGTGTATGACTGAAGGTTGAATATTTCATACTGGTGATTGTTACTGTACTGCCAAATATTTCATTCAAAATCAAAGCTGGAAGTGGGCGTATACTACCTTGCCTGGCAAGCTATCTTATTTTATCATACCTAAATTAATATTTTCAATCTGAAAAATGATACGGGAAGCTGATAAGAAGCTCTACTGATCAGGAAGGGTTAATATAAAACCATTTAATCATCATTATTTGTTTTATTTGATTCCGATATGGTTAACTCAATGACAGTTTTGTTTTTTAAAAAAATCTAAATTTTCCGAATATTAAAGCTGTAACATTTTATTCTATTCAATTCATATTGATCTGACATAATTAAGCAGTACTTCATCAGTTCGGCTGTCAAAAGTCAACGTTCTACAAATGAAATCATGCTCAACAAGGAAGTATGATGAGTGGGGTTGTTGTTTGGACACGGTGGCCCTACAACTGCTACGTTTTCAAATTGTAACAGAATGTTTGTCTGTGTTTAAGACAAATTAAGATATATTATGTAAAAGACATGTTTTTATCAAAGCAAAAGTCTGTCTAATTCTACTCTATTTAAGATTACACATTTACAAATTTTGTAGAGAAAACGACAATATGTTATTTCATTTGTTAGTAAATCAAATGTGTAACAACTAAAACAGCGAAGATCTCAAATCTTAAGCAATGAAATCCACCATATGTTACTAAAAAATAAAATAATATAACCAATAGATTGAGGCCTCAGGAAACAATGGCGGTGGTGGTCTGCTTCAAAGAGCAGAAACTAATGAATTCTAATTAAAAGGGATTGTTTGTTGATATTAAATTGATGATATGTCGTCTGCACCGCTTCAACTTTACACATCGGAAGGTCTAATACACCGAAACCTTTAAGTCACTTGATCGCGTCGATTGATTGTATATTTTGAAATAAAGAAATATAAAAATGAAATGAAATGGAGTTTTACATCCTACATTTCTGCACCATGTGGGCTAATGAAGACGTGTCATGCAAGGTGCATTGAGGGAAATTTTGCCAAAACAGCAGCGTTAGCTCTTTTACGATTTCCAATTGTCAAGGGATATTCAACATGCAGAGACTGTACCACACGGGACCTCGAGACTACACGCCTTTTTTCATTTTAGCCCCTCTTACCTGTCGGGTTGAAATCGTCGTAACCTATGCCGGAATTGAAAACGTCTAACTCATTGAGCCACCGCGGCTCCATAGCTATTTGTGAAGAATTTGTGTTTTAATATTTCTATATAGCTCTACACGTGATGTATTCAGCACTATTTTAACAGTGGTATTTCTATATCGCTCTACAATTGATGTACTGAGTACTATTTTAACAGTGGTATTTCTATATAGCTCTACAATTGATGTATAGAGCACTATTTTAATAGTGGTATTTCTATATCGCTCTACAATTGATGTATAGAGCACTATTTTAATAGTGGTATTTCTATATCGCTCAACAATTGATGTATTGAGCACTATTTTAACAGTGGTATTTCTGTATCGCTCTACAATTGATGTACTGAGTACTATTTTAACAGTGGTATTTCTATATCGCTCAACAATTGATGTATTGAGCACTATTTTAACAGTGGTATTTCTATATCGCTCTACAATTGATGTATTGAGCACTGCTCTACAATTGATGTATTGAGCACTATTTTAACAGTGGTATTTCTATATCACTCTACAATTGATGTATTGAACACTATTTTAACAGTGGTATTTCTATATCGCTCTACAATTGATGTATTGAGCACTATTTTAACAGTGGTATTTCTATATCACTCTACAATTGATGTATTGAACACTATTTTAACAGTGGTATTTCTATATCGCTCTACAATTGATGTATTGAGCACTATTTTAACAATGGTATTTCTATATTGGTCTAAAATTGATGTATTGAGCTCTATTTTAACAGTGGTATTTCTATATCACTCTACAATTGATGTATTGAGCACTATTTTAACAATGGTATTTCTATATTGGTCTAAAATTGATGTATTGAGCTCTATTTTAACAGTGGTATTTCTATATCACTCTGCAATTGATGTATTGAGCACTATTTTAACAATGGTATTTCTATATTGGTCTAAAATTGATGTATTGAGCTCTATTTTAACAGTGGTATTTCTATATCACTCTACAATTGATGTATTGAGCACTATTTTAACAGTGAATTTATGCTTTTTTTAATATGTGGTTTTTATAGAGGCTTTTAATATTATCTTCATCGCATTAAGAGCACGACAGGCCGTGAAATTTTCTGTTGATTTATTAGATGATTGAGCTCTGGGTCCCGTTTCTCAAATTCAGCAATACACGTACTACAAAATTGATTTTTCTTAAACGCTTCCCTGTTTCAGCTATCTGTTTCTTTTTTCCAATGAAAATCTGACGTTTCCATTCTGGAGATTGATCAACATCAAAATCGATGAACCATTGAGAACTTAAATATGCAGAAAACACAAATGCAAAATTGACTTAAAAACAAGTGCGTACGAATTATTAAAATCGATCAGTCTTGTGTATACTGCAATAAAAGCATTGAAGCTTTCAAAAGAATTCTAGTTTCAAATTTAAAATATATTGACATAGTTCTCAAAATAACGAGAAAATAAAAAGTCGGTAATCAAGCTTTCCGACCGACTTTCCGAGTCTTAGTGTAAATCACTTCAATTTAATGCTAAATAAAAGATCACAAACTAATTGAGTCAAAACGAGTTCGAATGCTCCAGTAATAGTGCGAATACCCTAGTAATATTTCGGACGATCGGATGCCCCAGTTATCGTTTGGTAATAGTTCGGATGCCCCACTTATAGTTCGGATGCCGCAGTTATCGTTCGGACGTTCGGATGCTCGGTAATAGTTCGGATGCCCCACTAATAGTTCGAATGCCCCACTAATAGTTCTGATGCCCGATAATGGTTCTGATGGCCTGGTAATAGTTCTGATGCCCGGTAATAGTTCCAATGCTAGGTAATAGTTCCGATGGCCCACTAATAGTTCGAATGTTCCACTAATAGTTCGGATGCCCGGTAATAGTTCGGATGCCCCACTAATAGTTCGGATGCGCGGTAATAGTTTGGATGCCTGGTAATAGTTCGGATGCCCCACTACTAGTTCGGGTGCCCTACTAATTGTTCGGATGCCCCACTAATAGCTCGGATGCCTCCTAATATTTCGGATGCCCCACTAATAGTTCGGATTCCCCATTAATAGTTTGGATGCTCCACTAATAGTTCGGATGCTCCACTAATAGTTCAGATGCCCAGTAATAGTTCCGATGTCCGGTAATAGTTTGGATGCCCCACTAATAGTTCGGATGCCCCAGTAATATTTCGGATGCCCCAATAATATTTCGGATGATCGGATGCTCCACTAATAGTTCGGATGCCCCACTAATAGTTCGGATGCCCCAGTAATATTTCGGATGCCCCAATAATATTTCGGATGATCGGATGCTCCACTAATAGTTCGGATGCTTCACTAATAGTTCGGATGCCCCGTTTATAATTATAAAATGTCTGTTGTTTTTTTATAGAGCCGCAATATGATAAAACTTACAGCCCACTCACATCGGACTGCGACCATTTGCGATCACAAATGTACTGTGTTGCCGGAGACCGTATGCATTGAAAAAAGCATGTAGTTGTTTGGATGGGACCGTAAACCAAGACCCTTTGTGAAAGATCCCTGTATAGTTGAAATCAAAGAAGAGCTGTCTAATGCCACTGTCCTTTCCATCACACTGCATGGCGTTGTTGTCCTCATCATCCCAAACATTTGCAGACAAATAGGACATTAAACTAAATTTCCTTTTTACATTAATACATGTATGTATATACAAAGAAATGTGGAATTGGTTGATTTAACTTCTTATATGAATAGTTAAATGGATACTTATTCGTTAAGAATGTCTCAATCACGTGAAAGTTTGAATGACAGCTGGGGTTGGGTTTTAAGTAAGTTAGAACATAAACTATTACATGACAATGGCAAAAAACAAAATCCAAAGGAAAATATATCAATAAATGTTATCTTTGCTCTTTAACGATTTATCCGCTCCCCATTGATCTAGTTTTAAGGCTCTTTTCTGAACTAATGTTAACAATTGATATACTACTGTATACTATTGATAAATATATAATGTAATTTTCTCTTCAATATACACCCGGAAGTAAAAAAATGAACTTAAAGGTAGTTTTACGTCCAATGTTTCTGCCACACTGCGACTTTGTATTTTCTCGAATACAATACATTTGAATTTTGGTGTTAGACCCCTGTATCCTCTAAAAGAATCTACCCTCTCATTGCTCTCTCCTCAAATTTTGAGATGCAATGAGGTTTTGAGTATGACTTCTCTACTGAGATGACAAAGGGTATTCGGGAAGATATGAATGGTTGAAGGCGCAAGTTACATTATCTACTTAAGTGCAGTGCAAACAAAAGGTTTCTGACTTGAAGTCAGAGCCGAATAAAATATTTTGATAAATATTAGTACTAATATCACCTCTCCCACCAGTTTTATTGTACTGAAAGAGTCTCAAACACCATGATAAATATACCTTGCCTATTGTTTAACCTTTCCTCTCTATTGTTTGTTAAACAATTAATTCTCTCTTTGATTCTATTTGCCGCTAGAATAACGTTAACTTCTACGTGTAGGCGATATTAATCCAATATACCAAGTCTAATAACTACCGCGTTTTTGCCATAGATAGCATTTTCTCTGGAATAATTTCACTTTTCTGTCTTCCGATTTTCAGGATCTCTATTCTGACGCCAGTCGAGATCAAGTACCATGAGTGAAACTCCGCATGTATAGACTTGCCATGCTTTGTATTTTAATCCGCTATATTATGTTTTGAACTAGGCCTAACAATGGTGATGTCATCAGATAAATCAATCAGCTGATTTGAGAACTCAATATATCGATACAGTTAAAGATTGTATTGTTTAAATACTTTAAAACGTGTAAATATAGATATTGATTTATTGATTTATTGATAAGGGACATATTGATCTCCTCTGTTTTCATCGTCTGTCAGATCACTAACTGTCCACGAGCTACATCTATCTTAACACTGGTCTAATGTTCTCCATACAAATATTCTTCTTATTCAAATTTAAATGGATTTATCTCGTCTATTGACAAATCGAGTTCAGATTAACTTCCCTGGACTTAAAAGATAGTACACACAAGTGAGTTTGCGAAAACAACATCTTAAATTTCTGTTGACAAGCGTGCTTTCAGTTGCAGTGACGGTGCCAGCCTTCCAAGACTGGGGGGTACAAATAGGGGCCAGACTGACTCAATGGGGGGGAACTACTGCAGCTGAATTCACATTTTGGCTACTCTGTGGTGGTGTCATTGTCGCAAGCCTCTCATAGAGTGTCTTAGAGGGTCCTCTCAATTGATTTTGTGCATCTTGACACTTATTTTGGAGAAAAAAGGTAGACATTTAGATTTGATGAAATGAAGCAGGGTACAATTAGGGCTGCAAAGCACTTTTCTAGTTGGACAAATGACCCCTGTACCCCCACTGGCGCCGCCACTGTTCAGTAGTTATTTTTAATAAAGCAGTTTGTTTGTTACTTATTGATATATCACAACTAGTTACAGAATAAAATCAAGAAAAAGGCAACAAAACAATTATTTGACAGAACTCAAGGAAGATATTAAATAATTATTCATTATAATTTATAAATGATGATATTGTTTGATTTAGTGTTTATTTTCTGAACCAAATTTGCACAAATGTCTAGAAATCTCTCATTGTTTGTATGGGAAATGGAAAACATCGCCCATAGCAACTGTTTCATTATTTTGACAGCTCAGCTAATAGCAATAGGCAGTATGTACTTGAGTAATATCAGTTCGTGGAAATATTACAGCGCGGACTTCATTGGCAGCACCTGTAGATGGCTGACGTTATATTTGAAAGCAATATCTTGACAGTTCAGCTTATAACAAGTTTATAATCTGCAAGGGGCAACACGTACTTATCAATTCGTCAAAACAGCGCGGACTTCACTGTAAACACATTTAGCTCTTAAAACTATAATTGCTATACAAACTGGAAATACCGAGTTGATAGGTTAATTACACCTTTGTTGAAAAATCGATGGACATATTTGGTGAAAAACAAAGCTAGCTAATAACTGTCCCCGATACACACAATAAATAGAAAATCAGGTTAAAAGGAATTGCACAGATGCTTTTCAACTTTCGGCTTTTTACGTGTATTGAGAACACTAACAGCATTGTTTGCATCATTCCAATATTTAGTCAGAGGTTATATGAAGGTAATAAATATAAGTATCTTTGCGATAGTGAAGTAAAACAAACGCTTATTAGCTTGACTGAAATTGTAAGAACCACAGGCGCTCTGATAATTGGAAAATCAATTCCTTATTAAATATTCTTTTTCTCTATCGCAAAATAGTTTATTTATAGGTTGCAATCATGGTTTCAAGTCAAGTTCTTGAAATTCGTCACCCATTACTGCATTATATATACTTTATACTTTTTATTTTTTTAAATCGATATAAGTTTGTATACACAATTATTCTCTTAACCATTATTTGTTTTCTTTAAAAAAATCTGGAGATGACGTAAACCTTTGATTTATTTTAATTAATAGTATTTTAAAAAAGCCTTTTGTATTTTATCAACAGCGATTGTTTTTATTTCTTAAAGATAGTTTTCCGTATTTTTTAGTGTCAAATTAAGCAAACTATTTGATTTATTGGTGTTTTTAATGAATAATCGTGTATTCTTAATCATATCAGTATGTTCTTATTGCATATTATTTAGAGTTTTAACTAATCATAAATGTCCATGTATATACAGTCTGGATAAACAAAACAAAAAAGACTTTTTGACCTATTTTGATCGGTCACTCATTGGAATGCTGCTGGTAATTCTCTTCTAATTTAGCTAATTAGGAATTATTATGGAATGTGATACAAACTAGTATTTTTCCAAGCCATTAGAACACCTCTTCTTTCTATTCATATAAGTATTAGCATTTTCGTTTTCATAAATGAAAATAAGGGAACCCATCTAAAGGGATTGTACAGAGGTTTCCTAAATCTTTTATATGTATCGGGGACACCGATAGTTTAGTTTTGTACCATTCCTATTTTCAATCGGACGTCTTTGGTTCCTGCAATTTTACTAAAACTAAGTGTTTGATGACGTCACTAATGGAAAACATGCTTTATGACATAAGGCCCTTCGCGATTAGTGACGTTATAAAGCGCTTACTTCTAGTGGAATTGCAGGAACCACAGACGTCTGATTGAAAATTGGAATGGTACAAAAAGAAGTATTGTATAATTATTCTATTCTAATTAAATTTGTAATCTATAATCTGAGAAAATAATGTTCAATCGAATTTTTATTGTGACATAGAAATCAAACATAACAATTAACTCAGGTCATGTGAGAGCTTTAATGTAAGATAAAAACCGGAAAAGAAAGATCTAGATCCATTCCAGTTGTGTTAATAGAGCGTTGGTAGAGTATTTTAATGGTTTTGCACATTGAAAGAGTCGCTCTGTAGTTACTTTTCAATCATCTCTACTGGTGGTGACTCGGGGCAATGCAAAACAAAAAGAAGTTATAAATTCAATTAGATGATAGGTCTGTTTTGATATTAACAAACGTTCCGCCGATCGACCCTTGAACAATAAAACAGGAAATACGTGAAAAGGGATTGTCACATCCTCGTAATTCTTGATAATTAGATCAATACCAGTCTCAATAATCAATCTGAACAAAAAATAGTAGTAGATATTTCGTTTCATTTATTTTCTGTGATTTATATCACCCATTCTAGATCTGAAGGCATCTTACTTTACACCCAAGGTAAAATTAAATTTATAAAGTTTTAACGTTCTAAAGAAAATTTCTACATTTCTCATACTTTCATATATTCTAATTTCAGCTACCATACCAGAACCGGAAACTGCTACAGAACCAGAAGTAACATCCGAACCAGAAGTTACATCTGAGCCAGAAGTAACATCCGAGCCAGAAGTAACATCCGAGCCAGAAGTATCATCCGAACCAGAAGTAACATCCGAGCCAGAAGTAACATCCGAACCAGAAGTAACATCCGAGCCAGAAGTAACATCCGAACCAGAAGTAACATCCGAGCCAGAAGTAACATCTGAACCAGAAGTAACATCCGAACCAGAAGTATCATCCGAACCAGAAGTAACATCCGAGCCAGAAGTAACATCTGAGCCAGAAATAACATCCGAGCCAGAAGTAACATCCGAGCCAGAAGTATCATCCGAACCAGAAGTATCATCCGAACCAGCAGTAACATCTGAGCCAGAAATAACATCCGAGCCAGAAGTAACATCCGAGCCAGAAGTAACATCCGAGCCAGAAGTAACATCCGAACCAGAAGTAACTTCCGAGCCAGAAGTAACATCCGCGCCAGAAGTAACATCCGAGCCAGAAGTAACATCTGAACCAGAAGTAACATCCGAGCCAGAAGTAACATCCGAGCCAGAAGTAACATCCGAGCCAGAAGTAACATCCGAGCCAGAAGTAACATCCGAACCAGAAGTAACATCCGAGCCCGAAGTAACATCAGAACCAGAAGTAACATCAGAACCAGAAGTAACATCAGAACCGGAATTGTCTGTCTCAGCAGAATCCGAAGGAACAGCATACCCAGAGCATGCAGAGCCAGAGGCCACTTCGGAGCCAGAGAAAACTGCTCAGGCAGAGGTCCGACCATCTGCGGCTGAAATAGTTGTTCCACCGTTTCTATTGATGATAATTATAATTTTGGGTTAGTAAAAGTATACTACTGTTCTCAGTTCATTGATAGATAATATCAAAATTTAAAGTTTTCTCTCCCTACGATAAACTTTGTGAACATACTTTAACACTCTATCGCATGGTCCCAGTCACAGATCCAATCCAACTTCTGAAATATGAGCGATTAGAATTGCATAGTTCCAAATCTTTTAAACTTGAGGTACGTTCTATATTTTTTAACTTCCCTGATACCCCATTCTCCCACCGTAAGCACAATGGAACTGAAACTCGACCAAAAAACGTGAATCGTCAGAATCGAGAGTTGTTATCATAAAAACCTATTTATATTGTCTGTGTGTCCATCTTAGTACCCCCTGTTAACTTGTACCATACTATCCAACGTTTGGTAGTGCACTACCCAAAAGCAATACCGACAAACCTAGTAGAGCGGTAGCACACTGTGCTCCTGTAGTACGTGCATGTAAGGCAACGAAAATGATTTTGCCTATTTTCATTATAGGTTTACTGGGTTTATTGGGAAGAACTAAATATTCAGCTATTAAACAATCAACGCTTACATTCAGTCGGGCCTTTATCCGAAACGTTATTGCCAACCGAAGCAAATTTGACAATTTTAACAAGCAGACCAAGGTGGAAGAAATCAAGCTCGATAATGAAACCTTAAACGAAAAAGATTTATTGAACGATGAGCCATTTTTTACTCGGTTTGATCTGGAAGTTATGGACAGTTTAAAGAACTCTTACAACCGCCCGAAAGAACTAATGAGAATTGCTTTACCGGCACTGCTGTCGTTAGCCTTATGTCCATTGACTTTATACATGTACGACCCAGTAACAAAGTTTCTGTGGCCAGTAGAAGAGTATGTAACAAAGCCGGATATCAACGACGCCATTGCGTGTTTTCTTGCACCCGCCGGATTGGTTTACGCCACATCCTTTGGCTTTGCGTTTCAATCTGCCATCAGTAAGCAGCATGAAATCCTGATGAAAATGACTGCCGAGATTAGTATGATAGATCAAATAGCTACGTTTACGGCTAAGCTCCGACTGCCCAGTCAGCAGCTCCGAATGGAGATCTACAAGTCCATCAAGACGGAAGCTATCTTTATGATCCTGCAGATTTTAGATAGAGATGTGTCCACTTACAAGTATAAAGCTCCACACGATCTGAAGGGTAAGACTCCGTAAAAATCTTTTCCTTTGGATTCATTTACACACCTTTGATATTTGGATGTCCAGATTACCTCCACCCTCTTTCCAATTTAAACCAAGTCATGAATAATTGGTTGCTTCGCTGTCCAAAATGCCCCTCAGGTAACCCCCCCCCCCCCCCTCTTAGTTGTTTCAACTTTATTTTCTTTGTAAGTGAAACGGGTGGGAGGAGCTGGTATGAAGAAAGCTGTGTATCGCTCTGATGAAACAATAAACCGATGCCTATGTCCTACAGTCATGACACACTTATAGAAAACTGGAAACTGAAAATGAGTAGTTTTTATGGCGTCATGGCAAGTCAATATTTCCAATTTAACAATGTATTTTATAAACGCCTAACGGTTGCAGCAAAAGAAGGCCAGTATGTTTCTACATACATTCTATTTTATGTTTGTAGCCTACAATGGTAGTATACCATAGTCAGAGTTCCGTACTCCTTTATAAATATGTTTGTTTATATATTACAGTAAAAATCTGGTCAGTGCTGGACACGCTACGCCATGTTAACACCAGTAAAACTAACCACGTAGATAGATGTCTGTCAGAGAAAATAATGGGACACATCATGGCTTTAAACAGTATCTGTTCTGACAGAATGGGGGTTTTACATGCCAGAATCCACCCTGTGAAGTAAGTTTCGTCTTTCTCATCCATAGAAAAAGAAGCCCTTAGGTAAAGGGTGGGTGGTAGAGGGGGTTATCGGGCAGATTTCAGCTCTAGACCCTGATCTTTCCCGAATTATCTATGACAGCTGGATCAATTCTAATACCGAGTTAAAATGATTATTTGACTATTTACTATTGAATATTTCAAGGTCACAAGATTTTTACAAGCTGGCCGAGATTAGAACCAACGATCATTATTTGTTCGACGTAACGCAAGCAAATGACGATTGTGTTACAGCTTGTCCCCAATGTCTTCATTAATGTTAACCAAAGCTAGGAGACAACTGTATATCAATGATCATTTATTTCTGGTTATGAAATACTTGTACTATTATAAAGGGGTCGTTGTACTGAAAGCTGTGATATTTTTTTCTTCAGTTATAAATGGCATTTTTATTCACACAAAGGCTTATTTAATATGATAACTTATTTTTGAATTGTGTATCAAAGGGATATAGACGTCTAATTATATTGAAATCTTTGTTAGAGCAACCAATATCACTTCCAGATTACAAAAAACGACATTATATAGTTTACGAAAAAATAACCATTTGTTTTACAAGGATGACAATATTAAGGATTTTTACGGTCCTTTCTACCAGCTGTTCCTCGGCCAAATCTCTTGGCTTTGATCTTTTCCGGATTATTCAGATGCAGGCGACTGGAATAATAAGCAAAGATGACTTATTGCAGGTCATCAGACTTTCATGACTGAGATAAGAACCCACAACAACAGTTTGACTTTAGACTTAAAATGAATTTTTTCAAGAATAACTGTAAAAATCTATCCAGTCTTACTGCGTTTCATTTCAGAATTGATAATCGAGACTTGTAGTGTATTTTTTTTCAAAAATTGCCCATCGCTTTATCAGTACGTTCATCAAAAATTTGTTGAAAGTATCCCTTAATCATTGTGCGCAGTCATGAATTAGAAATCAAAGTGCTAGAAAAGCAGACATGGAATTTTACTTTAAAAATCAAAATCTATTGACAGATGAGTTGTCTTCTCTGCTCTGTTTATGATTGATCGATGGGAGTAGTTTCATTTCTGTCTGGTGATTTCAAATCAATTTCTGCTGTGATTCAACCGTGCCAAGTTGTTTACAAATACCGAAATGTTGGATTCGATCTACGCATAGTTCATTTTCACATTTATGCACGCGGATGTCTGAATACCAAAATTATACAAAATCACTAAGGATGCTTTTTATTCTTCTCATCTGATTGGCCAATCATTTAAAATCAAGATTTTTCCATGTTAGTGATAGGTAGGTCGTGGAGATCAATTTTCAGAAGTGTTCGGTCGATCGGACGACGAACCAGGAAACTTTTTAAACTTGGTAGCATTTTGCTTTTACACACTGCAGCCAAATCTGAACAGTAGGAATTATATAAACACCATTAATCTTATTTTATTATAAAAAAAAAATATCCAGTTTTCTAAAACAGACATGAATTTGTTTCACGGTCCTTCTGTTCTTATGATACTTATAAAAATTAGAACTTTACCTTCTGTTTTATACCACAGTGAAATAACATAACGAAGTTTTTCCTGTACGACTTTAACAAGGTATTTGTTTTTTAGCATTCTGTAACCCGCGAGAAATGTATGGTTGACGAAGGTAGATATCTTTTTCAATTCATATTCAATTTCTTATTTTGACTTTCTCGTTTCAGGTGGATGTTTTTAGAGACTCTGGGGTTTTTCTCCTTTGTTGGAATATTGTTATTAAATGCCTTCAGTTATCGAATGGAACTAGTAATGTGTATTATCACGGTATTTTCTATCAGTATGCTATGTTTTGTAGTCTCCGACCTGGATTCTCCGTTCAGCGGCTTTTTCCGAGTAGATCTATCCGTCATGCATGAAGTGATTGAGAGGGTAGCTGCCATGCACGAACTGGCAAGAATCGGTGAAAATGCGTTAATATTTTACCCAGAGAAGTCAAATGGCACCGAGGATATTTTAGCAAAATCTCGACCAAGTTCAGCTGAAATAAAAACTGATAAGATCATCAGAGATTGCTGGTAACTACAACTCTCGTCTGAAAAACCAGTTTATATTCCGCTAAGCGAAGCTCAGGTTTCTCTTCGCTTGAGCGTAGTAAGCTTCAAAGCTCAGCTATGAAGCGAAGTTTCGCATACGACGTACCTTCGTAAGTTTAGGATGTGATCCTACTTCTTCGCTTTGCTTTGGGCTTTGCAACCAATCAATGACACTGAAAAGGCAGAGCAATCTGGCGTCGGCGTATTTGCCGCTTATCATTCGAAAATTTAACATTGCGATGCGCATCAAATCAAAGCTTCACTTAACTTTCTGTTTTCTTCGCTTTACTCTTTCGTTATCGGAGTTTAACTCGGCCTTGCGGAGTATAAACCGGCTTTTGTTCTGTTATATTTAGAATATAAATAAATAAATCTATTAGTGCGTTTATCACTGTCTTTATTTAAAGGTTAGTCTGAGGTCAGCCGATATAATACAGATTTGATCCGCCTTTGTAATCTAACAAGTTTTCTATTACTGTCGAGTTCTTTAGTGTTATTTTAACCAATCAAAGCAAGTAATACTGGAATGTGGGACCCGTTTTATATCAGCAATGACGCATTTTGGGGTTTCAATGTTCGTTCTTTTTCGTTAGTTGTACCTTAGAGCAATATTCATGAACCATGTTGTTTTCGGCAACGGCTAATCACTATTACCAGCCTTTGTATTCTGATTAACTTACATTAATGTACATTAGTTACATCTTCTATTTACAACGTTATGATTTCTTGGTGACCTATGGTTACTGTAATTCATTCCAGAATACAATGTTACTATCGAATATACTTTAGAAGTACGTGGTGTTAAAATCAAAACAATAGGTATTATACACAGGTTCCCTAGCCTTAATCTGTGTATCCGGATACAAGTCCTTTATAATCTAACCGCAATATTCTAATTTACTTTCCATAATCCGTATATTTATAGGAAAACATGGCTAGATTAGGCTATTATGTCAAACATCATTTAAGCAATAAAAAAAATTAAACTCATCTGAAAATATTAAAGATGGGTTTCCTTTTTTTTTAGTGTCAAATTAAGAAAACTATACGTGTAATTTGTATTTCTAATGAATTATATTGGATTCTTAGTCATATCATTATGTTCTTATTGCATATAATTAAGAGTTTTAACCAATCATAAATGTCCAGTCTGGATAAAACCGAAACACTTTTTGACCTTTGTATTTCTGCTGGTAATTCTCTTCTAATTTATCTAATTATGAATTTATTATGGACATGTGAGACAAACTGGTATTTTCAATACCAATATTCATATAAGTATTAGCATTTTTATTTTCATAAATGAAATCAAGAGAACTCATCTTTAAATGTTGATGATATTTCACTCCTGATTTATTTCAATCTCAAATTAATTAAACACTGTATCAGATTTGAGTGATAATCACAATTTCCTTTACAAACAGCAAGGGGTATACACAATAAATAATACTAAATAAACACTATTCCCATCTCCTAATGGCAAGATAAAATTGCGAAAACAGCAGTTGGTATAAATAAATAAACGCTATTAGCTATGTGGACTCTCCGAAAGGCATATAGTTTCCCGCTTGTGTTCCCAGCATTTTACTAGACCGAAACATTTGCCTCTATTCCACCCTCTAACAACTATGCTAAAAGTTGTCAGCAGGACAGCACAATCGTTGGTGCGAAAAATCCCTTTAAAACGTGGTCAAGTTTTCCTGACCCTTCTCCAGCCGACAACTGTCAAAACAGATATCAGAGGCTAGAATGGAAGCAGATGTTTCCGACTAGCATTATTTGCATTCCTCTTGTGGATGATACTATGGTTATTAAAAAACGTTCTGTTGATCTGGAAGTAAAAATATATATAAATGATAGTATGTTTATTATAATTATAAGAAGCTAAACGAGAAATATAAAAAAAAGAACAACTGGTTAATGAAATGGTGCGTGTCAATTTCCAATTTATCAAAAAGAGAAACTTTGAAGAAGTGCCCAATTTGGATAAGCAACATACTTTTCAGAATAAAAGTCTGTCGTTTTCTCAATGAAATAAAACTGTTTAACCGATAGTAGAAATTAATTTATCAAGATAATTTCTTTCAAATGTTAAAAATAAATAGAAGAATATTCCATAATTCCATATTTTCCAGTAGTCATTAATTGAAATAAAAAAATCAAGTGCTTTAGTTCATGAACATTATTAGATATTGGTTCGAATTTGTGTCGACTACCTGTAAAAGAATTGATAAACTTTTAAAGCATTATATCGATGTTGACCTAACATTTGGGATATCGCAGTTTGACTAACTTATTGTAATTTTAATCTCTGGATTTACAGTCAGACTATTGGCAGTTAATAAAATAGAAAAGCTCCTATTATCGTGATACGTGGGGTCCTGTGAATCTTCTATTCAGTCATGCCCCCATGACTTCTATCTTTGGCACCGATGCCAGTTAGTTCCAGTCTGTGATCAGCCCGTGTTGTCATTTTCCCAGTGTTTGTGTTTTACCCTGATGGTGTAGCTGAAAAATGGAAATATGTTAGTTTCTATCTGTCTATTGAGGTCAGCTGGTAGAAAAGATCTTCGTGAACGTAAGTTTTTATCTTTGCAAATCCTCATGTATGACAAGAAAGCTGGGAAAATGAATGAATAGACGAGAGTTGAATATATCCACTGGCTACAGAACTGTAAATGATTCGTATTAAAAGTTTTGTCAGTTCATTATTAAAGGGAAGTAACTTCTATTAAATTCATAATTTTAATTGTCCTGATTTATGATGAAGGCGTGTGCAAAGTGTCGTGCTCGTGTTCCGGGAATTACGTCTTTCTGATTACTTCCGGTGTCTGTGGTTCTTGTAATTAATAAAACTCGTGGCCAGGCAATCCTTTTACTTCCCTAAATACCGGTATCGTTTAAGTTGTGTGGTCTAGTGTTTATGTGAAATGAACACGATTTTCAACAATATGCTAACCTGCTTTCATTACACTAAAATTTTTTAAAACAATAAATCAAAACTTAATTAGATCATGATAGTTTAATCATAAAACAATACATTTAAAGTGGAGAATGGATATGTGAAAATAATTGGATTTATCTCCCTTTACTTAAAAAACATTTTACACAAGTGGTCTGGTTTTAACGAAGATGGTATCTGAAGTATTTGGTTTCGTTTCTATTTTGGTTGACCAGGGTTGATGACTATTTGACGCATTGCATATTGACCTCGTATCCTTTTGTCGATTTGAATGACCCAGAATGACCATTTAATTTTGTGGTGTTGTACATCTTATGCTTATGGATTATGATCTGATTAGGCCAGGGGGTTTCAACCTTTTTCTTTCTATTACCTTTTACCTTTCAGGATCCTTGGTCGATTTCATCAAAAAAATTTCTTTTTTTGACAAATTCGGTATGAGGCATTGGCCTTATTTTCCTCAATGTAGTTACAACCTTGCTCTCAATTTCTTAATCGACGTAAAACTCCATTCATTTCATTTCAAAGTCTTAATAACATGTTTTTGTAAGCCAGGAAATTCAGTTAAATACCTTATGGCGTTTCTCTGGTAAAAATATTCCCTAAACTCCTAGATATGTTTACTAATGCCAAAAACAATTATTTTCTACGATTTATTCTCGGAGGATCAGCCACTGCTGCTGAACATGGTAAACAATTACAAATAAGTGTAGGACAAATCCACAAGGGATGTCCATGGTAACAGGTTTAAGTAAATCATTAATTTAGTGAAATAAGTTATACAACAAACATATAAGTTAACTGTAATAGTGATTTTTATTTTTTAAGATAGGAGATATTGAGAGCTTTTAAGAGTGTATGTCCTACTTATTCATTGTCGAACGTGTGACGTATAAGTAACGGTGGGGATAAACGATGTACGTGTCCAGTACGGTGTTAGGTGCGGAATTAGCGATACAGTAGAAAATAGTAGAAGCGAATAGTGTCAGCGCCATGTCCGGACCCGTACCTCGTGTGTTCACTTATTCTATTTTCTACTGTATCGATAATCGCACCTTTACACGACCTACATCAATCATAACACAGATGTTTTACTTAAGTTGTTAGCTTAAAAAAATTATTACCAAAAAGTTTTACCTATAACTGACTGATAAACAGGATCCTCGTGAGTCTTAACTGATAACCTTGTAAAATCATTAACAAAAGGTTTTATCTATAACTGACTAATAAGCAGGATCCTCGTAAGCCTTTACTGATAACCTTTCAAAAGGGTCGTACATAAACTTAATAAAGTCTTCCTAATTTTGACGTTTTCGGTTTCTAATTATGGTTTTGTAATTCCATATGATCTGTCATTATAACATAAAACCAAACTAATTAATTATGATTAGGTATTAAAACCTGCTTTCTATTTGAACCGAGGAATTATTGTTATTATTTCATTTTTAATTGGACAGCTTCGCCATTTATTTGACTAATTGTACCTTAGTCTTAGAAACGGGATATTTTTTCCTAAGCTCACAAGTAATAATGGTTACAGCTCTAAGTCGAAATCTGAGCCTTTAAAACCATACGTGTCAATAATTATCTGCGATTGAAAGTTGAAATGATGAGTTGTCTTTTCGTGAGGCTCTGCGAAAAGATATTAAAAACTAGATATATTTTTAAAAGGAATTATGTGATTTTCGTATATTTCTAGTATTTCTAAAGACTATTTACATATATTCAAGAGCGAAATTACCCCCCCCCCCTCCAAAAGGCGAATCTGTGCCTTTAAAGTGTACAGCTGTGGTCAGTTCCGATCGCTTCATTAAAATTCCATTAATACCAAAATGTCATATCAAGTTAACCACTCGTGGTAATGATGCTAATTGTTTCCAAGGTTACAGAACTGGTCAGCATTCCTGAGAGTAAATGGATTGCTGATAATGATAGTTGTCACACCTGATACTTGTTTTGCTACTACTACCAAGAGATTTGAGAAAAGTAACTTAAAATTGTACCGTCAGACATCTAGTTCAATAGTGTTCTCAATACAAACAAACTCGTTGTAATATATACACCAAATAAACAATATAAATCATGTAAACTCTCTGAAAGGCATACCGCATTGTAGATTGTTAGCTGGTGTTCTATAACAGTCGGAATGCCTTGACAACACCTCCAGTAGTACTTATCATTGTGGTACTATCGTTTCTTCATCCATATTTCGTAGCATTTTTATTTCATTGTACTATTATTGCTTTGCTATCCGAACTGTTTGCCCTTCATAATTACAGGAATATTACGAATTGGTATTATACCTTGACTCTAATAGCTTTTTCTTATGTCACGTTTGCTACGCTAACAAATACAGCCAGTCAGAGGCCTTGACGAAAGAGAGACGCTGCAGCTGGGGCGAGTTTCTTGAAGTCGAGGGTAGTTG